TGCTGTTGGATATAGGATTCTTGTTTGACAGGGTTTTTTTTTCCTTCTTGTGGCACTTCGACTATATTAGCCCACTGCCTTCTGGGGTCCATTGTTTCTGATTAGAAGACAGCTGTGATTTATTTTGTTATTCTTCTGTAAATGATAACTTGTTTTTGTCTAGCTTCTTTTAGAATTTTTATCCTTCAACAGTTTGGCGATGAGGTATCGAGGTGTAGGTCTCTTTGTTTATCCTACTTGGGGTTTATTGAGCTTTTTGGATCTGCAGATTCATGTTTTTCATCAAATTTGGGAATTATACAGCCATTATTTCTTCAAATGTTTTTTTCTGCCCCTTTCTCTCTCCTGGCGCTTTCATTACACATATGTTGGTAAACCCACTGTTGCTGCACAGGGGTCTGAGGCTCTATCCATTTTTCACTCTTTTTTCTCTCTGTTCTTCACATTGGATAATTCTATTGCTCTGTGACTTCAAGTTCACTGATTTTTCTGTCTTCCCAAATCTGTGTCGTCCCTCTAATTTTTCAGAATTTCTTTTAAATATTGTGATTAATATATGATTTCCCACTTTAACAGTTTTCTTTTTTTTTTTTTTTTTTTGGGCGGGGGGGAGGAAGGCAGGAAGGAAGGGAATAAGGACGGTAGGGAGGAAGGAAGGGATGAAGGAAGGAAGGAAGGGAGGAAGCGGGGAGGGAGGGAGGGAGGGAGGGAAGGGAAGAAAGGAAATCAAGCAATGAAAGAGACATTGCCGACCTGGATCTAGAGGTTTAAAAGTTGATTTCTTTTTCTTTGAGAGAAGGAAAGAAAAAAAAAATAAGTAAAGGAGAGGAAGAGAAAGAGGGAGAGTAAATGGAAATATTGCTTTATTTTGAAAAAAAGTGGGTATTAATAATGGCCAATCAATGTTTCATTTAAACTTATGGGTAGGTGTGATGTGGTATTGGCAAGAATGTATATTTTGTGTATTTGAAGTGGAGAGCTCTATAAATATTTATTAAGTTTACTTGTTCTGGATCTGAGTTCGAGTCCTTGATATCCTTATTAATTTTCTGTCTCATTGAATCTAAGTCTCCTATCTGGGTGTTAGGATCGTTAGCTCTTGTTGTTGCATTGATCCTTTTACCACTATATCTTTGTTGCTTTAAAATCTATTTTATCCGATACGAGAATTGCAACTCCTGCTTTTTATTTATTTATCATTTATTTTTGCTCTCCATTTGGTTGGTAAATCTTTCTCCATCCCTTTGTTTTGAGTCTTTGTGTATCCTTGCCTGTGAAACAGGTCTGGATGTAACATGCCGTTGGGTTTTGGCTGTGTCTTTTGATTGGGAATTTAGTCAATTTAAATTTAGGGTTACTGCCATTTGATGTTGACTGGCTGTTTTATCCATTCGTTGGTGTAAATTCTTCTTTATGTTGGTGCTCTTTACTTTTTGGTGTATTTTTAGAAAAGCTAATACTGGTTGTTTCTTTCTGTGTGTAATGCTTCTTTCAGAAGCTCTTGTAAAGCAGGCCTGGTGGTAATAAAATCTCTGAGTTCTTGCTTGTTCATAAAAGATTTTATTTTTCCTTCAGTTGTGAAGCTTAGTTTGGCTGGATATGAAATTCTGGGCTGAAGGTTCTGTTCTTTGAGGATGTTGAATATTGGCCCCGACTCTCTTCTGGTCTGTAGAGTTTCTGCCGAGAGATCTGCTGTAAGTCTGATAGGCTTGCCTTTGTGGGTAATCTGACCTTTCTCTCTGGCTGCCCTTAGTATCTTCTCCTTCGTTTCAACCCTGGTGAATCTAACGATTATGTGCCTTGGGGTTGCTCTTGAGGAATATCTTTGTGGTGTTCTCTGTATTACCTGGGGTTGAATGTTGACCTGCTTTGCTAGTTTAGGAAAATTTTCCTGAATAATATCCTGAAGGGTATTTTCCAGCTTGGATTCATTCTCTCCGTCACATTCAGGTACACCTATCAAACGTAAATTTGGTCTTTTCACATAGTCCCACATTTCTTGGAGACTTTGCTCATTCCTTTTTATCCTTTTTTCTCTAATCTTTTCTTCACATTTTATTTCATTAAGTTGGACTTTGACCTCTGATATCCCTTCTTCTGCTTGAACAATTCGAGTGTTTAAACCTGTGCATACTTCTCGGAGTTCCTGTATTGTATTCTTCAGTTCCATTAATTCACTCATACTCCTCTCTAAGTTGTCTATTTTCAATAGGATTTCATCAAACCTTTTTTCAAAGTTTCTAGTTTCTTTACATTGGGCTACAACATGTTCTTTTAACTCACCGAAGTTTGTTATTATCCATTCCTTGAAGAGTGATTCTGTCATCAGGAGGCGCTCGTTCTCCATCAAGCCTTGTTCCATTGTTGATGTGGAACTGTGATCATCTTTAGAGGGAGAGGCGTTCTGATTTTGAGTGTTCTCAGCTTTTTTACGCTGGTTTCTTCCCGTCATTGTAAATTTATCCTCCTGTCGTCTTTGAAATTACCAACTTTCAGATTAGGTCTCTTGAGTGGACGTCCAGGTTGTTAGTTCCCAGGGCCAGAGCAGCGGCGTTAAAACTGATGGTGCTTTTCTGCCCAGGATTCTCCTGTCGGGCTTCCTTCTTGTTTCCGTAGTAGGCGACTCTGCCTTCCCGGGGCTCCAAACCTCAGTCAGAAAGGGAACCCGTCCCGTTTACTCTGCGCTGAGCGCTGCCGCATCGAGGTGCTGGGGGAACCGCTGCGCCGACCACGAGAGTCACACTGGCGACTCGTGTGTTTCCACCACTGGGGGATCTTCTGCTCCGTGAGCGACCAGACTTTGTCTGAAAGTGTGGCGTCCTCTAGTTCTCTGCGCCTTCCCTGAGAGCTGCAATCCCGGGATGTTAGCAATCGGCCATCTTGGATCGTTCCCAACAGTTTTCAAGTGTATAGTTCAGTGACCTTAAAAATAGTCACATTGTTGTGCAGCCATCACCACCATTGCTCCAGAACAGTTCATCATCCCAGACTGAAACTCTGTACCCATTCAACAATAACTCCCAGCTGGTACAGTGGCTCATGCCTATAATTCCAGTGCTTTGGGAGGCTGAGGCAGGAGGATTGCTTGAGGCCAGAAGTTCAAGATCAGCTTGGACAACATAGTGAGACCCTGTCTCTACAAAATATATATGTGTGTGTGTGTGTGTGTGTGTGTGTGTGTGTGTGTGTATTTAAATTAGCTGGGTGTGGTGGCTAGTCCCAGCTAGTCTCTGCTATTCAGGAGACTGAAATGGGAGGACTGCTTGAGCCTGAAGTTTGAGGCTATAGTGAGCTACGATCATGCCACTGTACTCCAGCCTGGGCAGTGGAGTGAGACCCTGTCTCTAAAAATGAAAACAGTAATTCCCAAGTTCCTCCTCCCCACAACTCCTGGTAACCACTGATCTACTTTTCTGTTTCTGTGAATTTGATAATTTCTGATACCTCATATAAGTGGAATCAAACAACATCTGTTTTTTGTGTGTCTGGCTTATTTCACTTAGCATAATGTCTTCAAGTTTCATCCATGTGGCAGCATGTATCAGAATTTTATTCAGAATGTGCTTTGTTTGTTTTGAGACAGGGTCTTGCTCTGTCACCCAGGCTGGAGGGCAGTGGCATGATCATGGTTCACTGCAGCCTCTACTTCCCTGGGCTCAGGTCATCCTCTCACCTTAGCCTCCCAAGTAGCTGGGATGGCAAGCATGTACCACCATAACTGGCTAAGTTTTTTGCAGTTTTTGTAGAGATGGAGTTTTGTCATGTTGCCCAGACTGGTCTTGAACTCTTGGACTCAAGCCAGCCACCCACCTTGGCCTCCCAAAGTGCTGGGGATTACAGGTGTGAGCCACCATGCCTGACCAGTTTTTTTTTTTCCCTAAAATAAGGGCCCAAGGTTGTCCTACCTGACCCTTTAATTCAATAAATGTGTGTTTTTTTTTTTTTTTTTTTTTTTTGAGATGGAATCTTATTCTGTCACTTAGGCTGGAGTGCAGTGGCGCAATCTTGGCTCATTGCAATGTCTTCCTCGGATTACAAGTGCATGCTACCACACCCAGCTAATTTTTGTATATTTAGTAGAGATGAGGTTTCACAATGTTGGCCAGGCTGGTCTCGAACTCTTGACCTCAAGTGATCCGCCCGGCCTGGCCTCTCAAAGTGGAGGGATTGAGCCACCACACCCAGCCTCTGCTCATTTTCTTTTTAAAAAATCTTATTTTTTAAGCCTAGCTTCATAGGGGTCACTCTTGTGCCTGATGGTCAGCCAATGATTTAGGCAGATGTATCTTGAGCCAGTGAGGCTTCTACCTTCTGCTGATAAGTGTGTGTGTGTGCAGGCTGGTGGGTGGCTGCATATTTAAAAATTCAGCAGTTGTGAAATCTGCCCTGGCTTTTACTTTCTTCTGGGCCCTCTGGCATTTCTTCTTCTTGTGCTCATAGATCCTGTCAGCTAGGGCTATGTAGCAGCTAGCTTGGGCCTTCTCTAAAATCTCTAACAAGGGCCATGTGGCCCAGTATTTACACTGAGTTATCAGAGCATTCTCAACTTCCTGTATGCTGAGAAGAGTCTTCTGAGAAGGACAGTGGACTCTGGGCTTCAAAGCCTTGGAGCTGTTATCCTCAATAAACAGCTGTGGTCTTTCTTGTCCCAACCCTAAAGACATTGTCTTTTGGAGAGGACATTCCCGCCAGGACTCCCATCCAGCTCTCAGCAGGAAGTTTCCCATCCTGAAAATCTCAACAGAAATTAAAAAACTGATCTGCCATGGGGTTCCCGCATTTTGTAGCCTGTCAGAATTTGACCTTGATTCAGCTGATAAGACAGGGCTGGCCAAGGCCAGTTTTTGCTGCCTATCCATCATCTTTATGCATGTTCAGGAGACAAAGGGTGTTAGGTGTTATCGGGCCATGGAGGGGTGTGCCCCATACTGAGCCCCTGCTAAAGCAGAACAAGAGATGAGGTGGCTGGGCATGGATTAAAATGACAAACTAACTCTGAAACAAATGTAGAGGTTTATTTCAACAAAATGTGTAAAGAGTGCGCCTGAAGCTCCTGCTCATCACGGTATGTGTCCATCGAATTCTGAGACAAGTGAAGGCTGTTTTGTGAACGAAGAGAACAGATAATATGGCAGTCTCCATTCAAGCAGGTCTTGGTCAATATCCATTTATACTCCTGCCTCAGTAGCCTTGCGCGTGTTGAGGGGCTGTGGGAATGTCAGACTGCTCATGTTCTGTGGCTCCAACTTGAAAATTCCTCGTCTAGGGTAAGACCTACAGTTCTGGGGATGGGGGAGGAGGCATTACAGGATTCTAGAGAGGAAGCATACTCGTTTGTGTCATAATTTGGCGGGGAGAGGGAGGTAAATGAGGGTAACCCACCCTGCCTCTGAAGCAATGCCTGGACTGGCCTCCTCAGGGATGTGGGACTTCATACCACTTGCAGGTATGTGGGATTTGATTTATTGCAAAAAAGTATAGAATAATCTGGTGAAAAATGCATCCAATTCTTACTAGGTAAGCAAATGACCAACAATGGTCAATGCATTTTCCTGAACTGAAAATTGTCCCCCACTACTCCATGCCCTTTTCTGAAGGTGCTGAACACCTGCACCTCCCACCAGGGCAGCCAGGCTGAGGCTCTGACTCTGGGGGGCTGTCTGCTCCACACCCAGCCATATGGGGCCCGTCTGCAACCCAGAGCCATTGACAAGCCCATCTGCACAACTTCCTCCTGAAGAAGGGGACATGGAGCTCGCTCGTGTGTAAACTACAGGGTTAAGGCTCAGAACTGTAGCTTGTCCAAGAGCGTTCATACCACTGCTTCTCCGACACCTTATCCTCCTCAGTCGTCAGTGAAAAATGCAATTAGTGGCAGGGTGCTGCCCAGCCTGGTTACCTGCCACTCCTGCTTTAGGAACAGGGGAATCAGGAAGTTGTTTTCTTGAATAAACTAGGAGTCGAAAGTAAACTCTACCACCCGAGGGAGGCCCCTGATGCTGGTCAGGAGGGGCCAGTAAGCCTGGAGAACAGCAGCACCATGACTGAGTTGTAAAGAATCTTAAGGACATGTGGATTCTGGGTTTCTGGAAGCCTCCCTCACCGGGAAGGCCAGCTCCTGGTGCTGAGGGCATAGCTGTGGGGAGACCTGCGCATCTGCTGCCTGTCTACATTCTGGGGAAGAGACAAGACCCAAAGAGAACAGACCCAAAGAGAACAGAAATGTCAGTTGCTAGGACAGTAATCCTAGGGAACTAGGAACTAGGGAAGAGTGACTCTGAGGCACCATTAAGCTCTCAAAACCATCCAAGCTCCAGGCTTCACAGGAACAATTTTCCAAGGCCTCAAAACAGACTATCTGGCTGGCTCTCCACATAGTATAAGTAACTAGTTTCTACCAGTGCAGAAAGGGTGGTTCTCTCTGGTTCCTCCTCTGCCAACTCAGGCTTCACTGTCTGTGGGACCACTGGCCTTGCAGCTCCCAGATACATGCGACAGCTAGTCCAGCAGTGATATGCAGGCGAGAGGCAGGGCAGTGACCTTCCCCTTTGTCCTCAGAGACTGAACCCAAGGTTGAGGTCCCCTAAATTAAGAATAACGTGGTCTATTTTCTTTCTCTGCTTCTTGGCTCACAGTTTTGCCCTCATCTTTGAGTTCCCATGGAGCTTGCAGTAGATTTTATGCTGATTTTTCTTCATAAAAGGTTCGTGGTGTAGTTAAACTGGGAATCATTCCTCTCCAGTGCCTACTGTGTGCTGGGCTGAGAGCTGAGGTCATAAACAGTGGACTTGAGGCTTGTCCTCTCCCAAGCCCTCCTCTGCACCTGTGGCTGCGGCTCATGGGGCCAGGAGTGAGAGGGGCTGCTGACTGCCTGGCAACTCCTCATGCTCCCCTATGCTGGGGGGCCAAGGGCCTGTCAGGACAGGAGGTGCAGCCCTGCTTTGGGTAGTGAGACCTCATGGTACATGTCTGTACCTTTCATTGCCTTCTCAGTCCTGTGCAGGGAGTGAAGGACTAGGCCCAGCCGGGGTAATAAATACTGAATGGGGTAGGTGTGATGGGTGGGCTGGAGGGGATTCTGTGATCTTACTCCCAGGATGTCATGCATAACCTAAAACACTCAAGGGGAAGGAAAATGCCACTTTGACTCCAGTGCTGGGTCTCCTGTGCCTTTCATTACAGTGGTTGCAGTTGTAAACAGTAGCTCTAGCCCTTTTCTCCAGGGACAGGGCAGGGATAGGCAGGAAGCTCCTCCTACGTGGAAGGGGAATCCATCGTGGAAAGGATCCGTACGACTTCTGCTCGCTGAGTGGGTGATATGTGTTGGGTCATATGGACGATGGAATCCATGGCAACCTCTGGATTGGCCTGGACCAAGCTGAAAGGAAGATTGGGAATGGTGAAGAAAAGAGAGGCAGAAGCGTCTAGCTCAGGACAGCTAAAGAACTGCCCAGTAAACATCTGTGCACTGTCCACTGCAGACATTTTAGTCACTGCCTCACCTTGTTTCCCTACATTACAAACATCCAGCCAAGGTAGTGCAAGACGAACCTGAAACACTTTGCTATGCTGAAAGAAGAAATTTAAAACCCACAACAAAAACAATGTCACAAAGGCAGCCTGTGTGAAAGGGGCTCCCACTGGCTAAATCTAGGATAATCCGAGCATCAAAATAAGCCCAATAATGAATCATAAAACTTCATGAGTCTATACCAATAATGAATGTAGCAATGAATTGGCAGGAGTAAGGGCTGTGTGGAGGGTTTGCTGGAGTTGGCAAGTTCTCATTTTGCAAGCTCACTGTAAAGACTGCACCAGGCAAGAATCTCCAGAGGGAGATTTTAATGAAAGCAAGATTCTTGCATGGCCTTAAACTGTCTTCCCACAGACTACTTATTAGGTGCAAAGGGGGGAATCAGTAATTACACAGTAGAGAAATGGAGCAACATCTTGACCAGGGGATAAAACTAACGTGAGGAGGGGCAGATGAACCCCATGTTCCCCTAGATGTGGTATCCTGTGAAGGTTCTGGCCAGAGCGCCTCACCTGTATCTCATCATGGGGAGACATCAAACTCAACATCAGCAGTGTTCCACAGATGGTAGATTTCAGATAGTTTTTAATCAGTGTTAAATTTACAAAAGTGGATCATTTTTTACATAGCCATCACAAAATGATCCCTATTCTCGCAAATGCACACTGAAATATTTGGCGGTAAAGACCCTGATATATGTAACACCTGTAAGTAGTTCGGAAAAAGGAGAAATATGTACACGTTTGGAAGAGTGCAGGCACACTCACCAGTGATAGCAAGGGAGGGAAAATGGAGCAGGCGAATCAGTACAGATATCACATATAGGTGTGTTCTTCGTATTGTTTTTAATTTCATAACTTTTCCGTACGAAGCCTCCAGAAGAATACAGCTGGCTCTTGGCTGGAGGAGGGGAGGAGGTGGTAACCACCACACATACAATCAGCTTTCCTCCCAGAGCCTTTCATCCAGTTTGAGTATCAGCATTCAGAGCTAAGAGGTGGGCACAGTGAACTAAGCCTTCATTGAGCCGAGATTAATAAGTGCCCCTGGGGAGCAGTAGCTGAAAAAGAATTGGGCTTCAGGGCCAAATCTGTACCTGTGGGTCAACTACAGCTGTCTCAAACAGCAAGAGACTGCAGAGATTGCAAAGTTTCTGCGATCATCTCATGAATTTGTTTGGAAAATTTTTTATTCCAAAGAAATTAGCCCCTTCTCTATCGGAGTTCCCCATGTTGGTCTCACCTGCGGATTTGCTTGAGGACGTAGTCTCTGCTGATGCATTTGATGTTTTCCTCTATCACGGAGCGAACGCCATCCTCCTCTGTCAGCTGTTTCTCCAGCCACTCCACCAGATCTTTATTATTGTCCCACACATAGGCCTGCAAACGGATGACTCTTGGTCAAACACCAGGGGTCAGGCCAGGCCTGGACACCCTGACTGTTCAGGATTTGGGGTGCTTACTCTAACAGCGTGCTCCGTGTCCACGATTCTCCTTCACTGTTGGCATTGTGCAGGACGAGAAGTAGGCCTCAAGGCAGGAGCTGTGCCCCTTCTCCTTCCCTTCCTTTACAGACACAGGTGCACAACTGAAGCCTCCACTGGGCTCTGCCGAGAGCACTGGTGCTCATACCCTGACTCTGTCCTGTCAGACTCTAGGGGCCTACCTATGTGACAAAGGCTAAGAGAATTCAGTGACTTGAGAGAACCAGTTAAAAGCCCAAATTACTTAGTAAAGTGCCACTGAGAGGGTGAGGCTGTTTATTTGGTGTTTTGCTTTCAGAGAAGCTGAGACACATGCCTAAAGTGTAAGTCTCTAGTCCCAGCGAGGCCTGGCAGTCACCCAATCAATTAAGTCTCCTGAGATAGATAGAGTTCACTGTCTTTCAGTGAGGCATGCACTGTGGACTGATGGGAGGGAAGTCTTGTTGCCAGGGTAGAGCCACCAGGTCAGAAACCTATGCCCCATTTTATTATCTATGAGAGTATTCGAAAGGATCAAGACGTCTGTAGCCCTGAAAGTCTCAACAAACTACCTTGCACCTCCTTTTCAAGATAATTTAGCTGAGTATTTCCTAGGTGGTTGACTATATAATAATTCAGGAGTGTGTTAGAAGCCTAATAGCCTTCTCCTTGCTCTCTTCTCCTCTCATTTTCTTTAAAAATCATTTAGGAATCGTTTTGTTAATGGTTTCCGGAAAACCAAGTACCACCATTAGGGCTCATTCATATTTATGTCATTTTGTTTGGGTAATTAAACACAAAGCTCGTCATTTAAAGGTGCGCTATCCTTCTCTGTTATCACTAACGAAGTCGAAGTCAGAATGACAATGAGTTTGGCACTGTAATTTAATAGGTGGGTGCGTTGGGGACTCTGAGGCTTTGAGGCTTGAGAAGTGGCTACAGGAAGCCTGTATACAAGCAAGGTCACCAAAGCCACAGCTGTGACTACTGGGCTGCAGAGGAAATGTTTTCATCACACCCTTCAAGAGGCCTCAAGCAGTACAAAACCGGGCTATTTTCTAACCATCTCATGCCTTCAAATATCATGGTTTCTTTTCAGATTCTCACTTCCTGTCTGTAACTTAGCTGCCGACTTAGTTGTGACTGGTTATTTAATGTCTGTCATTCATTGACTTCTGTTTCCAAAAATTAAGGAGTTCTTTACATTGGAAGGATGAAGGCTCCCCAGGATTAAGGATCAGCAGTATGGCTCTTCTAGTTCTTTGTCTATTTCTTTTGCTGACTCAAATGTGCACAGTTCTGTTTGTGATCACTGATAAGCAGATTAGCAATTCTTCAGCTGGGGTGCTGAACGAGCTCTCCCTCTGTGCCTGGGTCAGGACTCCCAGCATCTCTCAAGGCTAAACTGCCTTGAGAAAGTGTTTTGCGCCTAAGGAAAGGAGGTGCCACATCAGCCCCTATCCATGAGGCAGGGGAAGCACTGCTTTTCCCATAACATGGTCTGAACTCAGTCTGTGACCCAGCTTGCTGCATGCCCCACATGGATGGGTCCCCCTGGACTCCTAAACACTCACCTAAATTTCAACATTTCCACTCCCATCATTGGCAATTTACACTTGTGCTCCATGGTTTCAGGACTTCTACACATTCCCCTACTTATGAAGACTGGGGTAGTTGAGGGGAGAGAAAAATAAAACAATAAATGTTTCTTGGGTTTCTGAATGGGAAAAAAAAAAAGAAATCCAAGATTTTTAGATTTACCCAAGAATCCCAAAGCCTTTAGTTTGGGAGAATATTTAATACTCTTATTAATCATTTTTAATCCGTTTGCTTTTAATTAAGAAACAGCATGATGCTTTCCTATCAACATATGCCAGGGAGCAGATTAATTGTGGCTTAAGATAACTCTCCTTGATTGGTGTAATGTATTAGCTAACGAGATGTCTGCTTCTAACGATGCTTAGACACTACACTGGAAAGCCAGCTACCCTCTAGAGAAAACTCTTCTGCCTTCCCCTCCTGCAGCCAGAGTATGCTAGGTGTTTAAATTAAACATTTTGAAAAGTTCCCAGACAGGATTAGAGCAATGCATTCTGAGTTTTTTCAGATGCTTGAAAATATGGGCCCTATATAAAAGATCTGCTGTTTACGCAAAGTACAACTGGATGACAATGACCAAGCCAAACCCCAACAGACGACAGCCTAATACATGAAGGAAAGGGGTCTCAAATCCTCATCAACTGCATGCTTAGCAAGAATAAACAAACTGATGTACCCATAGTGCCAGTGTTTGTTCTCAACGGACCTGGGAGGGTTACTATACTGTGGTGGGCTAATTTGTTCCACCTGGAAAAAGCAAGCTCCCTTCTACTAGGTTATGGAGTCCACATTTTTTTTTTTCCTAGAAAGGGTCTCACTCTGTTGCCCGGGCTGGAATACAGTGGCATGATCACATCTCACTGCAGCCTGAAACTCTGGACTCACGTGATCCTCCTACATCAGCATCCTGAGTAGCTAGGATTTACAGGTATGCCCCACCATGCCTGGCAACATTTTTTTGGTAGAAACAGGGTCTCGCTGTGTTGCCCAGGCTAGTCTTGAACTCCTGGGCTCAAGCAATTCCCCTGCCTTGGCCTCCCAAAGTGCTGGGATTACAGGCGTGTGCCACTGTGCACAGTCAGAGACTACAATTTCTTGTTTGCTTTCTTAGAACAGTTATAAGACTCATTAATTCCAGTCACCCAGGAGAATAGGCCAACCTTATTCCCAGGAAGAAGCCATTATTACTTCCCTCCTTAAAATTATGAAAATGGATCTGGCACAGTGGCTCATGCCTGTAATCCCAGCAATTTGGGGGGCTGAGGTGGGGAATTGCTTGAGTCCAGGAGTTGGAGACCAGCCTGGGCAACACAGCAAAATCCCATCTCTACAAAAAGTCAGCCAGGTGGGGTGGTATGCACCTACAGTCCCAGCTACTTGGGAGGTGAGGTGGGAGCAGAGGATCACCTGAGCCTGGGAGGTTGAGGCTGAAGTGAGTCGTCATACCAGTACACTCCAGCCTGGGCAACAGAGTGAGATGAAAAAAAAAAAAAAAAAAGAAAAGAAAATGTGGCCAGTCATTCCTAGTATTCCAGCGTGGACTTAAACAAATGTGATATACTGGGTTGTTAACCTCATGACAGGCCTGGGCCCACATGCCACCTGTCTGCCACTCATCTGTATCAGAACATTTTATAAATGTCAATAAAATATCAATAATTCAACATCACAACAGTGGCCTGTCCTACAATGAGTGTTCAACAGACACTTCCCTCTGCATCAGCGGACAGTATCTCAGGCACTACTCAACCTCACTAATTTTATGTAGTAATTAGTCTATCTCACAACATCTAAATGGCCCGTTTGCAAAGTTTCATTTCTAACATATTGGATAGCTGTTAAGTCCTCCTTAGACAATGGTTCAGAAGGCCAGGGAGTGACCAGGGCACAACCTGATGGATGTGAGCCCTGATTACTATGCCCTACCAATAACTCACTTTGGGAGCTACTTGGAGACACCTCCAGCTAGGGAGGCTCCTCCCATTTCTGCCCTTCTAGACTTTGAGGAAACACGAAGCCTGATGCGGGTGGGAATGGCATACACATCCCAGGGTTTACGCGTATTTTGGAAAGACATTTTCAATACGCTTACACTTGCAAGGCTAAGCCCTATCCAACAGAAACCCAGGAAAGGATGTGATTTTTTTTTTCCAGAGGCTTTAGAGTACAACAGCCAAAGGCCATGTGGGCTACGGTGGCCACCAGACCCCACCCTCCTGTGAGCCAATCCCATCTCAGCTCCAGGCCCACAGCAGGGCCAAGCAAAGCTTTCCAGGTTCTACTTTACCTCCTTCTTGCCTGGCCCTGTGTGAAAAGTTTGGTGTATGAGACTTATTCATCAGTAGCCTGAGGCCAGGTTTTGAGGTCTGGAAATAAGTGACCCTATCAATAGTGCTTTTTCCTCTATGATCCTCACAGGGGCTTCCAATTTCACTTGGAAATCCAGAATAAGAGTGAGTGGGTAGGTGTGTGAACAGTAAGAATGCACCATGGCATCAGGATGTGGACACATGAGAGCATGTCAAACCAAAGAGCGTCTGAGTGCCCACTCTGCTCAGGAGCCAGCCCCCTTTCCACTGAGGCCAATCAGCTGTACATCTTTAAATCAGTCTATGTTGCTATTATTTTTTTAACCTTCCTCTTCTAACATGGAGGCAGGGAAACTAGCATATTCCGAATGTCTATGGAGCACCAGACATTGTGTTCCATAATTTTTCTTTTTGGAGACAGAGTCTCAACTCTGTTGGCCAGGCTGGAGTGCAGTGGCACCAGCATAGCTCACTGTAACCTCAAACTCCTTGGACCAAGCGATCCTCCTCCCTCAGCACCCTGAGGAGCTAGGACTTCAGGTATGTGCCACGACACCCAGAAAATTAAAAAAAAATTTTTATAGACAGGGTTTTGCTTTGTTATCCAGGCTGGTCTCAAACTCCTGGCCTCAAGTGATCCTCCCACTTCAGCCTCCCAAAGCACTGGGATTACAGGTGTGAGACGACACATCTGACCCATACTCCATATTTTACTCATCATGTTATTTAAAACTCACTGAAGCCCATGACATAAACATCACCCCCATTTTACAGATGAGGGAATGGTGGCTTGAATGATATGCCCATGCCAGTAAATGACAAAGCTGGGATCTCAAAGTTTATGAGATTTCAAAACGCACATTCTCATTGTTCCATGTGGAGTCCTAATCTCAATTTTTACTACTGGGGTTTGCGAAGCAATCGATCAATCAGCCTGTTTGAAAAACCACATACTTCAAATTTTGGATTTAAGAATCAAGAGAGAAAACATGCTCAGGATACAAATGTGTGTCACATTCTTATGACCCAATTTAAACTACTGTTCTTGTTATTTTCATCAAGGAGCTGTAGTGATGCTTTGCTTCTGCCTGCAGTGAAACTATGAACCATAAACCCTTCTGTTTTCTACAGTAGGATTGTCCCAGTGGATTCAAACCAACTCCCATAACTCAAGGTAACAGATACCTCTAAGGGAAACAAAAGAATTACAGTGCTCAGTTATATAACATTACCGTGTCTTCAATTTTCTGTCCCAGAATCTCTGTTTTCAGAATTAAGATTAAGAAAACAAATTCTCTGCAACAAGAAGAACACGCAGCATGGCTACTAGATGCCTATCATGAAATGTCTTTTCTTACCAGTAACCAACCATGATAAGGGTTAGAGGGCCACTTCCTGGGGCCTAGCCGGGGTCTAGACTCAGTCTTTGCACTTGAGAAGCACAACACACAATATCTATCGTTTGAAGAACCAAAAAATAAAAGGTGGTTTAAACCATTTCCAAACAGCGAGCAGATTCGACATCACGCCTTCAGAGGCACACAGATGGCTTTTGAACACTGCAACCCTTTCTTCTCTCAAGGGCACTACAGATTTTATCACCCACCCCACACTAAACTAGGTCCTGCTGAGTCTGCAGAATATGAAAGGAGGTTTCAAAGCCACATGCCCTGACATCATAGGATCACCCGTCCTCACGTTCACTCCTCGGCTTTCCTCTCAGAGAGCTCAGGAGAATGCTGCCTTTTGTAGCTGGGCATAAGGGAAATAGCCTCCATGCTCGGCATAGTTGGCTGCCAGTGCCTAGGCAGCCTCCTTCTGAGCTATGGGGCTGGAGCTCTCTTCTGTATGTCAGTTCCAGCCAGGAGCTTGTACATACGTGGCCAACTGTTCTCTCCATTGATAAGAGATGGCAATGACCTATTTCTTCAGACGCTCTGTCCCCCTGGGAGCAGGATGCTAAGGAACAGCTGAAGGGCCTATCTATTTGCTTCATGCTTGGAGGGAAGCTATTCCTTCTCCTCATCCTAGTGCCTACTGAGGCTGGACACATCCATTAGTGACTAATGTGGTAGGGAGGCGGTGCAGGCCTCTCCTGGCCACACTCACACACACACACACACTCCATTTACCTAGCCGGCCACTCTTAACTGGAGAACAACCTCTTATTTTACACTTGCGTGACTTTCAATGCCAACTTCCACTAGAAGCTGCCAGTAGCCACTGACAAAATTGTCTCACTCAATTATGATGCCACAGACTGACCTTAACCTGAACCAAATGTCAGAGAAGGCTGTGCTCCCCGACTGCACATCTGAAATATTTATCCAAAGAAGCTTTTCAGTTGTAAAAAAAAATTTAAAAAAAAGGGCAGACTTAACACAAAGGTGAATCCTAGAAGCACCCCAATTCACTGGCTTTAAAACTGACAGCAAAGCTTCGAGTTCCTCCTTGAGAATGATTAGCAGAGGCTTCAAGCAACACTTTCTAGGCAGAGGCCAGAGAGCCCTTCTTTGTGGACCAGGATGCTTCAGGCTACCACCAGCCACCCAGCCCTCCATCAATACTCTAACCTGGTAGCCACCAAATGCTTTTGATCACATAGCAATGAGAAAGACAAATATATTTTGAGCATATATTACCAATATTCTGATAAAATGTATATATGATTAATCCATCTATTAATTACTAATAAAGGGTTAATTTCTTTTTGTTAGTAAAAATAAATAGAAATAAAAATTCCAACTTTTTCTTCCCATCCTCTACCAAGGAGTGTCTTGTGTAGCCCACTATTCCAGGATCAAATGCCAGTGCTCTTGCTGGGTCATCCTGGCCTGAGTCCTGCCCCATCCCCAACACTGAGGCTGCAGCACCAGGGACACCATCTCAGCAGGGTCACTACTCTAGGTCATGAGCCCTCTCTATGAGATCGCCCCAAGAAAATGCCAGCTTCATAGATCCCTTCACTGCCTAAGGGTGGACGCTTCTCCCATCTCTGATTGGAAGTCAGCAGCTCTGTAGTTGTAGTCATGGCATCGCCTGCCTATCACATCCTGTCAGGCTTCCGCTCTTGGCCCCTCCAATTCCCTTGTCACTCCAGTGCTTAAAATGCCTGAGGGGTTTCCCACAGGCCTCAGGACAAAGTGCAAACTCCTGCACGATCATGCCCCTGCCCCTTCTTCCTACCAGGCACTCAGTCTCTGAGCCGCCCTAAAACAGTTACAGGATGCTCCTTCGATGCTTGCTACTCTTGCTTTAGAATGATGCTAGTCCTTCTACAGGAACACTCCTCCTAAGCCCTGACCACCCCCAAATCCAGCCTTTTCCCCTGGTTCATTTCTGCTTTGTTTTCCAGCCTCTGCTGAGCCATCCCTTACTCCACAAGGCTTCTTAGACTCTCCCACATCCTTCTCAGAGAGGGTCAAGGGTCCTCTTTCTGTGCTCTGACTGTGCCCTTTGCCATGTTTAACATGGACCTCTTATCTGTCTCCCCCTCTAGACGGTGAGCTCTATGTGGATAGGAACAACATCTGCCTCTTTTACTATGATGCCCCCAGAACCTAATGCAGTGTCTAGTACACGGTAAGCATTCAAAAAGGTTTGTTGAGTGACTATGAGCTGCAAATATGCCCTACTACCTCTTCTAATAAGATGTCATGGCATGACACGTTAGGGGGAGTAGCTGGGGGAGGAAACAGCTTGGAGCTCTGTTTCCCTTCCATTCCTGCCCTTAAGAGGCCTGTAAACTCTTAGCTGGCGGGCCTCGCAGCCCTCAGGTGATGTGAGGAACTCAGAAAAAGGCTTCTCTGTGAGTGTGCCACTTACCTTCACTGTTCCTTCTACTTCTACAAACCAGCGCCTTAACATGGCTTGAATCTGGCCATCAGTCAGCTCAGGGTTGGCATTGTGGATTTTCTTCTTGACCAGGTCCTCTAGCAGGAGACGCCTCAGCCTCCAGTAGAAGAAGGTACGGGATGTTTTCCAATCCAGGATATCCTTCATGGAGAGACGAATAAGCTTAGTCAGCCCGGTCCTAATTCCTGCTCAATGCTCAGTCTGGAGAGAAACCTACAGGCACAAAAACTGATTCTCCAGGCAAGCCCTTCACAGACCCAAGAGCTGGCTGTAAACTTCTAGCACTTCCAGCTGTCCCCCAGGGGAGAAATGCAGTCACATGCCCTGCTGTTTGCAGCACTGTGCACAGCCCTGGGCCTGGCCAATGCTGATCCCACACATGGCTGAGATGTTCTGGGAAAGAGGCTGTGAGTTCCCAGATAATCAGACTGGGAGAAATTGGTTTTGAGATGGATCAGTCAACTTGCAGATCAATTATGAATTAGCTGCTGCAGAAACCTTGACCCTACAGTAACCCATATCCTGAGGACCCGTCACCAATGAAGGCACATGTGACTCAGTTTCCCACCAGTAAAATGCAGCTTGCCTCCTAAGGAATTAATGGAAGTCTAAATTTGAAGGGTAATAGATATAGAAAAAGCAAAAATATTAAAAATACTGAAAATGTTTTGATCTGCAGAAGTTGTTTTAATTTGGCCTTTGTAGGCTCCCTGCGTGTGAGCCTGTGTGCATGACACACACACTTGCTCGCCTGTGGGCCTCTGACAAGTTGGGAGAAGTGGCAACCCTTGTACTTACGTTAATAACACCCTTCTCCTGCATCCGGCCTGGTGTGTCATGCAAGTCAGCAAACTGCACGGCTACCTGATGGTAAATGGGAATTAGGAATTCCTCCCGCTCCTTCAACTTGTTCTCCAACTCCTTCCGCTCAGCTGTACTTAGCTCTGGGGTGCCTGCAATTAGATACACCTGCCTGTCACACTCTGTAGTGACCAGGAATCTCTGCATAGCAGCAGCCACAATCACAGGAAGCTTAACATCAGCCTGCCCCCACTTCCCTCTGTGTCCTGGCTTTCCACTGTCTTCTCTGCTCTTTGCTGATTAACAGGACCCTACAAGATGTGAGACCAGTCTTTATCTTGCCACAGGAAGCCCAAATGTCCTCTTTTCCCTGTGGCAGTCACAAGTGTGAAGGCAGGATGACAGCCCCTCTCCTATGCCTCTCCCTGAGCAGGTGCAAGCACCCACCCAGAGGCATGCAGCATCTTGCTGATACCACCTTCCCGAGGCCAGTACTTGCACAATGACACCATGCCCATCCCTGCTGACCAGCATCAAAGAAGCTGGGCTATTCCACATGTGGGGTGTGGTGAGGGCACCCCTAAGCTCCAAGCACAAACTAGCAGCTCCTGTTTCCCAGTGTACATGCCAGTTACCTGCTAAACTTGGCAAGGACCTGAATAACTCCTAAAGGTACAAGCCATAGTACTTCATGGTTTCCAATCTCAAGTTTGTATTCGTTTAACCTCTAATTAGTAGAACTCAAGTGAATTAGAGCCAGATGGGTGTGTCTTGTGTTAGCTCAGTGGATTAGCCTGTGGTCTCCCGCCTGGGCTGCTACTGCCAAGGCCAATCCCTGACCGAGTGACAAAGACATTTTACTTCTTGGGCTAAACGAGAAGGAGGATGTAAAAAGAAAAAGGCAGTCAGCAAACCTCATTTGGATCACTGCACACGGTACCCTGACTCAACAGACAAGAGACTTTGGAACTCCTTATAACACTCCAATCAATAGTGTCCCAGTAGAGGTGTTGCTATGGTGTGCTTTTCTTCCTAATCACTCTCAGAATGGGATCTGCAATCAATATGGAAAATTTAGCTGCCTGCCTAGTAAGGAGGAGTAAGTCTAGCTGAAGGAGCAATAGGTGACAGCCCCTGGTGTTAGGGACAACCTGAAGTGCTTTGTCACCAAAGCTGACAAATAAATACATAAGCACAGGTGATAGGATGCAGAAGAGGAAGGTCTATTTCAAGCATGCCTGTCTGGGAACAGGCCTTGTTTTTTACACCACAATGAATCATATGCCATAAACAGCCTTGGGTTGCTGACTGAGCCATAAGTATTATATGTAAACACAGGTTAACAGGAGGGATGTAACTATAGTACTTAGTTTCATTTTTATGAGTTTTTTGGATGCTCAACTCCACCTCTTTCTTTAAGCTCATCGCCATTTTAAAAGTGTGATGAAGGTGCCACTGATCTGCTGCTTTAGGCCCTGGCGCCTCAGCAGCCTTCCTTCCAAAACACCTAAACGGCATGAAGGCACCGGGCCCCACACTAAGGGATGACACAAAGGCCCACGCATTCTAGTGTAGATCTGCCTGGAGGACTGATGGCAGGAAGGCTGAGGGGTCAAGGGCTGGCTAGTGTCTTCAGAGATGAGACATTCTCAGAACACCCTCAGTAGGGAAGCAAATGTTTTCCCTCTTCCACAGAAAGAAACCAAGATTCCCTGGAGAAATAGCTGACTCTAGGGCTGAGGCAGGGAAAACATCAGACGAACCTGGGGAATGTTGTGACAAAAAGCAAGGAAGCCCTCAAAAAATGATGAGGACATGTTAGAAAAATGCAGGAGCCAGTTTTGAATGTGTTCCCACTGGCCAAATCTGGGACAATGAGCACTCAAATAAATAATGATGTTTATTACCAGACAGAATATTTGTGGAATGAAACTAGAATCTACCAGTTCACCCTCATAGAAGTAATTAAATGAGGGAAAAGGGAAAGGGAACGCTGTCTCTTCTAGCAGAAGTGTAGAGGAAATGATGGAATTAGAAAAATCACTGTTTTACAAGCATCACAGTAAATTATTCTGCCAAGAATCATGGATGTCAAAACCAGTGGGTTCAAGTTTGATAAGAAAAAGGATATTCACAAAGTCAAAATATTCCTTACAAATCACTTAATAATTACAAAGGGGAAAATGGTAACTTTATAGATTAACCTAGGGAACAACACCTTAAACAAGTAGTTACATTATCATTACCAGTAGGACAGACTGATACTGTGACTCCTGATGGTGTCCTGAGAAGGACAGAACATGACTTCCGCAACATTCCTGCCCCAAAAGCAGAATCAGAATCTAACCACGGGGAAACAGAAGACACCCAAATTGAGGAAACGCACCCTTAAAAAATGTGAAAATTATGAAAAACAAAGTTCGAAGAATCAGTCCAGATTAGAGGGGACTAAAAATACTTGACAATGATCTCAGGCTGCCCCCTCCAAAAAAGAAAAAAATATCTAAAAAGGATATTGAGACAACTAGTAAACTTTTAATATGAATCATGGATTAGACAGTAGTATAAATGTTTATAGTTCTTGATTTTGATAAATGTATTGTGGTTAAGTATGAGAAAGTCAGTGTTCTTAGAAATACACACTAATATTTATGACTAAAGAAGCATGAGGGCCGGGTGCGGTGGCTCATACCTACAATCCCAGCACTTTGGGAGGCTGAGGTCGGTGGGTCACTTGAGGCCAGGAGTTTGAGACCAGCCTGGCCAACATGACAAGACCCTGTCTCTACTAAAAATACAAAAATTAGCCAGGCATGGTGGCACATGCCTGCAATCCCAGCTACCTGGGAGGCTGAGGCACAAGAATTGCTTGAACCCAGGAAGAGAAGGTTGCAGTGAATCGAGATGGCCTCATGTGTGCACTCCAGCCTGGGCAACTGAGACTCTTTTCTCAAAAAAAAAAAAAAAAAGAGCATGAGGTCCATAGATTACTTTCACATGGCTCAAAGAAAATGCATATGTATTTGGAGCAAGAGAGAATAAATACATGTATTTATTATTTGAGTGTGCAGAAATAATAAAGCAATGGGATCAGATATTAACAATAGGTGAATTTGAGAAAAAAGCACTGTATTATTCTTGTAACTTTTTTGTAAAATTATTATCAAAAAGTTTTTAAAATTAGGCAAGCTGGAAAGGAAAACTTATTCCTGGCTATCCAGTGCATACAATCAAGTCAAAGCTAATATTTATAGGGTACTAGGCACCATTCTAAGTGCTTTATATCTGTTAATTTATTATCACAACCACCTTAGAGACTGGTATTCTTATTATTTCCATCTTACAGGTGAGGAGATGAAGCCCTGAGAACTTAGGTAACTTACCAAGGTCACAAAGCTAGCAAGTGACAGAGCCAAGACTCAAATGCAGCAGTTTGGGTCCCAAAGCTTGTGAACACTGTTATGCTATCTCTTCTTGCTTACTTGGGCAGAAGACAAGTGCTTCAGTAGTAGTGTCCCTTTAATTTCTGAAAGGCTAAGTGATGATGGCGGACTCCTGACTGATATAGGTTCCATCTTAGTCCCAACTCCATAACTAAGACCAGGACAATGTCTCCAATAGTCCTTGTTCAGACGCAATTTCCAAGGCAGGCCTAAGATTTAAGAGTTGCTTCTCTTGTTACTGGGAGTTCAAGAACTAATACAACAATAGGTAAGGTCACAGCCCTGCTGGGAGCAAAGGGATGGCAAGACCACTGACATGGCTGAACAGGGATGAACAGTTCTAGATGCTTACAACATTCTCCCTCTCTGCACTTGAATGCACATATACATGGACCATTTATTGAGCATTTACTGTGTACCAGGCACTGCACTCGAATCTTTCAGGATCCCATAGCTCATAGTCACCAAGCACAATTCAGATCTACACACCTACATCTGCTCAGCTGTTAACACTGCTGCCAAACTGAATACTTTGGTATTACTGAGTGCTTTCCCAGTTGCTTCAGGTACATGATGTCTCATCTTTATGACAACCCAACTTTACAGCCAGGGTATCTATTTTACAGGTAAGAAAATCATGGCTTTGAAATGTAAAGGGACTTCCCAGTGACATCCAGCTCTTTTTTTTTTGAGACGGAGTCTCATTCTGTCACCCAGGCAGGAGGGCAGTGGCATGATCTTGGCTCACTGCAACCTCTATCACCTGGGTTCAAGTGATTCTTCTGCCTCAGCCTCCCGAGTAACTGGGATTACAGGTGCCCATCACTGTGCCCGGCTAACTTTTGTATTTTTAGTAGAGACATGGTTCCACCATGTTGTCCAGGCTGGTCTTGAACTGACCTCAGGTGATCTGCCTACCTCGATCTCCAAAACTGCTGGGATTACAGGGGTGAGCTGCTGCACCTGGCCGCATACAGCTCTTAAGAGGGAAACTCAGGATTTACGCTAGGGTCTGGCTCTCTCCAAACCCTGTGTTCTTCCACATTAAATGGTACTGAAGACTGCCAAGCAGATATCCTGCAGTGGCCACTGTAGGGAAACCACCTGGAGAATTGGTTTGTTGTTAGCAAGGAGTTAAGAGCAAGGCTCAGCACTGGCTGCAGAAGAGGTAGCAGCTATGGGCCGAGGAGGACAGTTTTCTGGAAACCGGGCTTTGGCTTCACTAAAGTTGGAAGGATGGGGGATGCTGGCTTCTGGGCTAACAAAGGTCTTGACCTCTCAATCAAGCTATTCTAGAGCTTTGAAAGAATAACAAAATAAACACTTTTAATGCTCTGGCCCTCCTGAGACTAGGAAGAACACAGGGCATTCCTCCAAAGCCTGCCTTGTTGATTCCTTCAGTAAGGCCTCTGATTATGGTTCAAGACCCACCTCAAAAAAGCATCAAAGCAAAACAAAGACTGAAGTGGAGAATATATGTGTTTTTAAATGCACATGAGAAGGGCAAGGATTTGTGTGCTTTGTTTTAGGGAAAAAGAGATTTTTAAAATTTTATGTTCTAAAAATAAAAGGCTGCAGTTAAGTCAGTTATATTCATGTGTTGCACACCAAGGGTCCCTCTCTCCTTGTACAGCAAAGCAGCCAGCCCCAGTAATGATTTAGGGGAGATTAACAAATATGTCAATGTCTATTTTCTGCTTAATTTAAAA